ATATATATATATATATATATATATATTTTTTTGGATAGATGTGAGTTTGTAATCCTGGGTTTCACTCTTTAGCGATCGTCAGACAAACTGATTGAGCGCTTTCTAATAAGTACCATGCATATAATATATAAATAATTATACATATATATATTTATTTATATTTATATACTTTTTTTCATATATATATATATATATATATATATATATATATATATATATATATATATATATATATATATATATATATATATATATATATATATATATATATATATACACACACACACACATACATACATACATAGATAGATAGATAGATAGAGATTGATTCCCCGATGTAAAAAGGTGATACAGGTTCGATTTCTGTTGGAGGCATGCTCATTATTTAGTAGAATTCTCAAACTAGGCCGTTTATTATTTCACTGTTTAAGGTAACAAAAACAGACATAGCAACTCCAATACATGTACAGGTAAAAAAAAATAATTACAAATAATACGAAATAATGATTGTGTAATTACAGTTGTGTGCAAAAATTTAATATCACCTAGAGATTTTTATGTAAAATACACAATACAGCAATATAGGGTGTTCTATCCTATAAATATAGGGAGTGCGTGTGGTATTGCCTTTCACTTTCTTTATGGGTTTTGATGTTTTGTTCTTTCTTATCCAAGTATTTAGTTTCAGAAACGAAGTTAGCTGACTTATGTGACCTTAAGGATGTTGGTGTTAGTCCTAACGTGATGTTAAGCCGATGGTAAGTAGGATCCAGCTTTCAGGTGATTTAAGAATATTTTTTTTTTAATTTTATTTTATTCATCAAACATTATATAATCCTAAAACTGCATCTATTCAATAATATTTTGTGATAAATACAATGAAGATACATGTCTAAATCTATCCTTGTGTAATAATTAAAAAAAAAATCTCGTCTCATTGAAACCATCTGATCAAAATAATGAACATTAATAAGATTAGACTCAAACTACGATAATAACATTCATTAAAGAATTCACTATACAACCAATCAAATTGAAGATGTTCGTCTAAAATAATCAGCATCAGATTAAAGAAATCCCTTTGTCTAAATGAAGCCTTTTGATAATAACAAACAAAATGAAGATATTTGGCATGCACGAACATTGAATAATAACACGCTTATTCTCAATAATACATTGTGATAAAAACAATGAAGATGAAGATGCTCGTTTGAAAGTGTTCTATAATATTGCAAAAACCTCGTCTCAATGAATCCAATTGAAAAGGTAAATATATTAATCTAGTAGAATCTAACTTATTATAAAACGCAGATTGTGTGTGTGTGTGTGTGTGTGTGTGTGTGTGTGTGTACGTTTATAAATTGGATCGGATTTCCTACATTTTTCAACCGATTTCAACAAAACTTCACAGGACTACGTAGAATTACCTTGCGGTGGTTCTGACAGCACCAAATTTGGGAAAAACAGAATTGTTTTTGCACGAAATCAATTTGAAAACACGATTAAGAGGCATTAATGAAAGGGAGACAACTCATATCGAGTTATACTTATTAATATCGAGTTATCGAGTTATACTTATTATAAAACCCAGGTTGGTTGTTTGTGTGTGTGTGTGTGTTCGTTTATATATGGGATCGGATTTCCTACATTTTTCAACCGATTTCAACAAAACTTCACTTTTTTTTGGCAGGTAGTGTTTCTTATTGTCTTGTACATTTTTTTCTTTATTTTTACATTCAGAATGCTTTAAAAATTCCATTTACAAGACAATTGTTTATAATAAAATTCTATTCAATCGGTAGACTCATAACGATTGAAATCAATGTTTTTGCTTCAGTTTGGGTTTGACCAATTCGTAAAAAAAACAAAACAAAAAAACAAGAACAAAACAAAAAAAAAAACTAATTAAGACATGCGTGTCCGTCAACCTTAAACAATAATCTTTGTCAATTTTATTTTTCAGTCTTTATGATGGTCGATACTTGATCTATCTCTTACTGTTACATCCCCGGGCAACGACGGGCTCTCCTGCTAGTCAGTAAATAAGAATAACTTATTTCTTCTCAATTAAGACCTTATTATACAGTGCGGCAGAAATACCTCCCATACTTACCTCAGAAAGACTTCGCATACATACCTCCCACGCATACCTCCCATATATATCACCGGAAATAGCTCCCACATGCACCTCCTAGACATACACCCAGAAATATCTGCGACATAATGCTAATACATCAGTGGCAATGATGTTTTCGTCGAGCTGGTATCTTACCATTTGAGGGAGGTGCTTCTGCCGCACCCTGTACAGACAATCAACGTGAAGGTGACAGTTTGAAAAAAGAATCATTGTATATTATTACAAATATCTCATCTGATTGAAGCCATCTTATAATACAATGCATATGAATATATTCGTCTATCAGGATCGTCATTAAAGACCTTGTGAGAAAAACAATCAAGATGAAGGATGGTAGTCTAAAATAAATATTGCGTAACATAAAAAAAATTCTCGACTAGTAGAATCATTGTATGATAGCGTCACTTCTCAATAAAGACCTTGTTGTTTTGAATAATAAAAAATAAGAGTGCTAGCGTGAAAGAATCAATGTATAATATTAAATATACACCGCCTTAAGGAAGCATCTTAATAAAAAAAAACAAAAATGAAGATACTTTACTTTTCGCGTCTTTCAATAACGAACGTGTGATAGAAATATCAAGATACAAATACAAAATTAACGTCCATAATTTTCAAGTACGGTAGCTTAACACATATTTAAGTGGATATTTCTTTTCTAGCAACAAAGAAATCCTACAATGCTAGGACTTTTTTTCTTAATCCCAAATACAATACTTAATCTAAGACATAACTCCTAACGCGTACACTGGAGAAGGGGTGAATGAAATGAACTTATCATATTTCACTGGTTATTAAAAGTTTTTGTGGCGGGAACTAAGGAAACAAGCCCCTAAATGCTACATTTATTTTTGTTTTGTTTTTAAATTTTGGCAATATTAGCCTCTTTCCGTGTAAAGCAGTACAAATCCGACAGCTTGATTGATCTGGAGTCGTTTTTTTACTGCATATCAACCTTTAGAGGTTAATTAAACGAATTCTTTAAAAAATCAAAACAAATTTTGCCGTGATAAAATTAAAACATAGGTTTGGTTCAAACGAGGAAAAAATAAGTATGTTTGTTTTGCAAAAAGATAAACATTGGTTTGGTTTGCATGAGAGTCGTAAAGGTAGACATAGTTTTGGTTTGCATGAGAGTCGTAAAGGTAGACATAGTTTTGGTTTGCATGAGAGTCGTAAAGGTAGACATAGTTTTGGTTTGCATTAGAGTCGTAAAGGTAGACATAGTTTTGGTTTGCACGAGAGCCAAAGACGTAGACAACAGGAGCTCCTCCTTATCGGTTGATTCCCCCTCTGTGCGCATAGGCAGTCGGCAGATCTTGATCCTAATTATAAAGGTACACAATTCAAACACTAAGGGAGAAAAGCTTATATTTTATTCTTCAAATCAAACGGATACAATTTGAGCCGAGCAGATTGATAAGCTGAAGATCTGTGTTTACATTAATCAGCTTGTGACATCAGAGAAACTTTGTCTATCATCATCGTCATCATCCTTCGGCCTCCATATGGTTGGTCGGAACTCCATTGACAATCCCGTTCCACACTGTCCGGTTTTGTATTTCTGTCCCCAGATCCCAGATGTCCAACCATGAGTCCCGACCTATGGTGTCTGGGAAAATCAATTTTCGTGAGAAGACACTTCCAGAAAGATGCCATAAGAGTAAGGATGAGACGATTTCTCTTGGCCAACAAACTGTAATGGTTTTTGTTTGAGCTTAAGAGAGATTGGTCTCAGTTCTCCGTAAAATGTCTTAAGCGATGCATGGGATCTCCCCCTGATGTTCTGGATTTTTCCAAGTAGATTCATAAATGTTCCGTCCAGTTGTCTTCCAAGACGATCAGATAATTTCCAAGTTTCTGATCCATACATTAGGACTTGTTCAATAAATTTTCGAAAGGTTTGGAATTTTAAGAAGGATGGAAGGTTCGATCGCCAAATCTTGTCAAGTTTGTTTCACGCATCCCATCCCGTAAAAGCGAAGAAACTTTGTCTGTAAGTGTATTACACCAGTAAAAGTTACTGTTGCGGTGTCCTTCCTCTAAAGAGTCTATCGCCTACTATAAGTTTAGTAAGAGAGAAGGTTCGGGGAACAGTAAACAGTAAATAGATTGAGCGCTAGTTTATCCGATACAATCTTATCTAGTGGTGTACTTACTGTTTAATTTACGATATATCTGCAAAACTGGTTTTTGTTATTACTTACTATTTACTTGGTCACAACAGTTACACAAGAATAGGAAAATAAAACTTTGTTTTCATTTTAGACTTCCGTACGTAAAAAAAAATTATTTACTTTATCTCTTGAGACTAATCGCTCGGAAGTGGCGCTAATATTCGGCAGTGGTCTACCGGCTAAAATTGCATTGTGACAAAAAAACAGCAAAATGCTGTTCCAACTTTAGCTGAGACTATATTCACTTTATCCTAATATTTTTTTTTTAAAGCAAGAACTCAGTTTACGTCGTTACTGGCATGTCAAGATAATTGATAGAGAAACCAGTAAGCATTTTGTAAGTGCATTCTATCTTAAATACAAACGTCGCATCAGTGCAAATCTATTTTGTTTCCCACTGTCAGTCATGATACAGACCAGCCATCGCCATTAAATTGTTTTTTTTTCTTTTAAGTAATTCCTATTATTTGACGTTTTTTAAAATTCAATTTTTTTTTCTTATGAAAACGTCATTTTTTTTTAAAGTTATTTAATCTTGCAAGAAAGAACGACTGGATTATTCCCCCTAATCTTTGTCTGGCAGAGAGTTGCCAAATATTTCCAAGGGGACACTGGAACGTTCTTCGTCTCACCTTTTAAACCATTCTATCACGTCTGGATTCTCTCAGTATCGTCAGATCTACTTTATGTTATCAAGCAATCTCGACGAACGAGAGAGACTCAAGAGACGTCAACCCAAGACGCGTGCCTTGCTAAATTTATTGTTGTTCTTGTTTCTTTCATTTAGTCTCTCTGCCCACAGCTGCTTCGGAAAAATATGGATAATGATTATGATTAAGTCTTATCTTTGACTCCAATTCCATCTCCGCGGTCTATCTTCCATTTCCTCATATTTGACGCAAGGAGAATGGGAAATCGCCCGTCAACCTGATGGCGAATTCTTTTTCCGAATTCATTTTTTTCACATTCTTCATGTTGGTTATTTTTATAGATTTTATTTATTAATTTTTCATCATGTTTTTCTCGTTTTTCTCTTCTTATTTTCCTTCCTTGCTTCTTGTTTTTTTTTCTTTTTCTTTTTTACTTTCTTTTTTTTTACTTTCTTTTTTTTTTCCTTCCGAATTAGATTCAGCACTTCATTAATTTATTTGTTATTTTTCTATATTTCTTTATCTTACCATAAAATTCTTTCTTTCTGTCTTAAAGAAAGAAAGAATTTTCTCTCTTTCTCTCTTTATTCATTTCTTTATTTTTTCTTGCTTTAAGTTTCTTTCTTAATTCTTTAAGATTCTTTGTTCCTATAAGTTTCTTTCTTTCATTAAGTTTCTGTCTTTAATTATCCTTCTTCTTTGTTTCTTTCTTTTTTTATCTTTCTTTCTTTCTTTCCTTATTTCTTTAAGTTTCTTGCTTTTTTTATTTTTCTTTCCTTCATCTTTTTCTTTCTTTCTTTTTCTTTCGGTGTTTCTTTAAGTTTCTTTCTTTCTCCCTTTAACATTCTTACATTTCATTTTTAAGTGTCTTCCTCTCCTTCTTTCAATTTCTTTGTTTGTTTGTTCCTTTCTTTCTTTCCTTCTTTAAGTTTCTTTCTTTCTTTCCTTAATCTTCTTTCTTTCTGTCTTTCTTCTTTCTGTCGTTCTATCTTTCTTTCTTTCTTTCTTTAACTTTCTTTTTGTCTTTCTTTATTTTTTAAGTGTTTTCTTACTTTAAGTTTCTTTCTTTATTCTTTAAGATTCTTTCTTCGTTCCTTTCATTGACTCTTTCTCTCTTTCTTTAAGTTTCTTTCTTTTTATGCTTTTTCCTTTCGTTCTGCTTTCAGGTTCTTTCTTTCAGATTCTTTCTTTGTTTCTTTAACTTTATTTCTTTCTTTTCCTTTTTCTGTCTTTCTTTAAGTTTCTTTCTTTTTTAAGGTTCTTAAATTCCTTCTTTATCAGTTCCTTTCTTTCTTTCTTTCTTTAAAATTCTTTTTTCCTGTTTCGTTTCGTTTCTTTCTTTTTTCCTTTAAGTTTCGATTTTTTCTTTTTCTTTTAGTTTTAATTTCTTTAACATATTTCCTTTCTTCAAATGAACCTATTTATTTCGTTTTACTTATTGTCTTAATTCTTTGTTTCTTTTACGTCTTCTTTTTTTTCACTCTTTCATTTTATTTTTTTGTCTTTTCTCTGTTCTAGTTTGTCTGTTCTTTCCTTTTTTTCTTTAGAACGTAAAACGTTTACTGAACAAAAGAATTAGTACTTGCAATTGTTATTTCTTCGTTCTTTACATGTTGATAGTGTTCTTTCTTTCTTTAATTTACTTTTCTTTCTTCAACAGACATTAAACTATTATTTTCACTTTTATCTGTTTTTCATGGTTTTCTTTCTTACTTTCTTTCTTCTTATTCATTCATTTTATTATTTTTATCTATTTCTAATATCCATTCTTCGTTTCAATCTATTTTCTTTTGTTTTTTTTTTCTTTCCCTTAGTTTATGTTCTTTTTTTTTCGTCGTCATTTCTCACATATGTGCTTTTTTTTCTATTTTGGTTATCCGTTAGTGTTGATTTTTTTTTTTTTTTCAGTTTACTTTCTTTTTTCAATTAATCTTTTTTCGTTATCTACTGATAAGTTTGTTTTAATTATCTATTTTTTCTTTCTTTCTTTCTTTCTTTCTTTCTTTCTTTAATGTCATTTTCTGTCTTTCTTTATCATTTTCTTTTCCACTTCTTTCTCTCTTGTCTTGTCCTTTCTTTCTTTCTTTCTTTCTTTCTTTCTTTCTTTCTTTTGTAATGTCATTTTCTGTCTTTCTTTATCATTGTCTTTTTCACTTCTTTCTCTCTTGTCTTGTCCTTTCTTTCTTTCTTTCTTTCTTTCTTTCTTTTCTTTCTTTCTTTTGTAATGTCATTTTCTGCCTTTCTTTATCATAGTCTTTTTTTCACTTCTTTCTCTCTTGTCTTGTCCTGTCTTTCTTTTTTTTTCTTTTCTTTCTTTCTTTTGTAATGTCATTTTCTGCCTTTCTTTATCATTGTCTTTTTCACTTCTTTTCTCTCTTGTCTTGTCCTGTCTTTCTTTCTTTCTTTCTTTCTTTTTTCTTTCTTTTTGTAATGTCATTTTCTGTCTTTTTCTTTATCATTGTCTTTTTCACTTCTTTTCTCTTGTCTTGTCCTTTCTTTCTTTCTTTTTTCTTTCTTTCTTTCTTTCTTTTTTTTCTTTTTGTAATGTCATTTTCTGCCTTTCTTTATCATTGTCTTTTTCACTTCTTTCTCTCTTTTCTTTCTTTCTTTCTTTCTTTCTTTCTTTCTTTCTTTCTTTCTTATCAAACTTTTCTTTCTCACATTTAACATACTTCTTTTCTTTCTTTCTTTTCTTCTAATTTTGTTTCCGATTATCTTTCTTTTTTCTTTCTTTCTTTCTTTCTTTCTTTCTTTCTTTCTTTCTTTCTTTCTTTTATTATACCTTCCCTCTATCTTATATTGTACTGTTTTTCTTTTTTCCTTCATTCATTATACTTTATTTCTTTATTATACATTTTTCATTCCTTCTTCCCGCCCTTCCTTTGTTATACTTCTCTTTTCTATTTTTCTAGCTTTCATCATTCATTCTTTCGTTATTTTTTTCTTTTATCATACTTCCTTCCTTTCTTCTATAATTATTTCGTTTTTCTTACTTTTTCCTTTATTATTCTTTTTCGTTCTTTCTTTTATTCTTTCTTTCTTTAATCACACACTCTTGCTTATGATTCTTTCTTTCTCTTTCTTTCTATCTTCCCTTTTTATATTTTTCTTTATTTTGCTCTTTATTTCTTTCTTTAAGTTTCATTATTTCTGTGTTTTTTCTTTAATTTTTTAATTATAATTTTCACTCTTTCTTGTTTGGGTTTGGTGCATAATTATCAGGCGTTTTTAAAACGATATTTATTATGAAAAAAAAGAAACAACAATTCAGCAATAACATTTTCAAATGATTATTCCGGAATATATGATTATCGGCACGCATTTTTATAACCTGAAAATAAAATAATATTTTTATTAAAAAAGTAAACAAAAGACATAACTCGCCCCAAAAAAAAACGCCTGATAATTATGCACCAACCCAATACTTTCCTTTCATTTCTTGTTCTTTCTTTTCTCTTTCTTCTTTTCTTTCTTGTATAATTTTTTTCTTTCTTTGTTTATTATACATTCCCTTCTTTCTTGCATTACATTTAATCTTTTTTTTCTTCTATTCGTTCTTTTTTCTTTCTTATAACTTTTCTTTTTTTACCACAATTTGTTTTCTTTGTCTCTTTACTTTCTTCGATTAATCTTTGTCTCGTTACACTTTCTTTCTTTCTTTCTTTCTTTCTTTCTTTCTTTCTTTCTTTCTTTACGCTCTTTGTTTCTTTGCTTCTTTCTTCTTTTACGCTCTTTCTTTCTTTCTTTCTTTCTTTCTTTCTTTCTTTCTTTCTTTCATCATATTTTCTTTCTTTCTTTCTTTCTTTCTTTCTTTCTTTCTTTCTTTCTTTCATCATATTTATTATGAAAAAAAGAAACAACAATTCAGCAATAACATTTTCAAATGATTATTCCGGAGCGTATGATTATCGGCACGCATTTTTATAACCTGAAAATAAAATAATATTTCTATTAAAAAAGTAAACAAACGACATAACTCGCCCCCAAAAAAACGCCTGATAATTATGCACCAACCCAATACTTTTTTCTTTCTTATAACTTTTCTTTTTTTTACCACAATTTGTTTTCTTTGTCTCTTTACTTTCTGCGATTGATCTTTGTCTTGTTACACTTTCTTTCTTTCTTTCTTTCTTTCTTTCATCATATTTTCTTTCTTTCTTTCTTTCTTTCATCATATTTTCGTTCTTTTTTTTCTTTCTTTCTTTTATCATATTTTCTTTCTTTCTTTCTTTCTTTCTTTCTTTCTTTCTTTCTTTCTTTCTTTCTGCTTCATCCCAGATCCCTATAAGTATTTGTTTGTTATTTATTACATCGTTCATAATTTTTTTCTCATCGGTAGACATAAATCAGTCGATCTGCAATCAACCGTTTTTTTTTTAATTATCATACCTTTTGCGTTATCTTCCATTGTTTCTCTTCTTTGATGTCAATTGAATTTTTCAAGCTTTTATCTTCTTTCCGCGTCATTTTCTTATACGATTAGCAAGTTTCCTCTGTGACTATCTTTCTATCCTTTTATATACAACCTGCGAAATCCTCATGCTCTTTTCTATCGTGCACTTATATTTTCTTCTTCTATATGCTGTATCCTATCAGGACATTGGCGATCATTGCTTTTGTAACGCTTAATAAATTTTGTAATTTTTTTATCTTACTTACACCTTGTTCCATCATTCATTTAATCAAGCTCATATTTCTCTATCTGCACGCGTCCTATGAGGATATTTGCGATCGTGTCTCTCCACAAGTTCCTGTTCTTTGTAGCGCTTAATAAATTATTGCTATCTCTGTTATATCATGTTCCGACATCCATTTACTCAAGCTCATTAGGTAGTTATGCATTGTTTTCCTCTGTCACACTTGCCTTCGATCTGTCCTCTGAGTATCAAATTTTCCAAACTCTCCTTCCTCATTATGCAACCTAGATATTTCAACTCACCCTGCCTGGTGTTAATTATATGTACTCGTTTTTGTTTTCGTTCTAAGACTTCACCGTTTCTCACATGATCGGTCCTTGTTATTCTCAACATGCTTCTGCAGAACCACATTTGGGTTGCATCAAGTTTCTTCTTCAATTGTGACATAATTGTATAGCATTCACTGCCATATAAGACAAGCTCTTAATAAATTTGGTATTTTTTATATTTCTTCTACATCTGACACCCAAATCCATTTACTCCAGCTAGTTAGCTAGGTATGAAATTGTCCAGCATTCGTTGCTATATAATACAACTGTTATTAAATATCATTTGAGTATTCTTTTCTTTGTTCCTAAAACGAAATTCTCCTGTTTCTTAATACTTTGCTTAACTTTTGGAATGCATCTTTCGCTATACAAATCCCCTTCAGGTTTCAATGTCGCACTTTCAGTCATTTGTTAAAACCCTTCCCAGATATTTAAATTGTTGTACTTGTTTTATTTCGGCATCTCTAATTTGTAATTTGCATGTTGGGATGTTTCTTTTGCTAAAAACCATGGTTTCTGTCTTCTTGCAATTGATGATTAGTCCTTTCTTCATGCTTTCCTTCACCACCTTCTGTAAGATTCTAGTCGCTTTCTTTCTGTGTCTGCTATCAACATTGTGTCACCTGCATTACTTTATCCGGTGTGGCTGCCAATAAAGAATACTGGTCGAAAATTCAAATCTCTCGGAATCGCCTTACCGTATGGGGGCGTATTAGCACGTAAATGAATTTCAGTCAATTATGTTGCCATGTGAGATACATGCTTAGGCAATCATGTACCTTTCGATACATGATGGCGAGGCAGATTTTTTTTCCTGCAGTTGGTTGCCATTTCTTCCTGCGGTAGACCAGTTGCCAACCAAGGCTATAGAACCCGGTCTGCCCGGATATTTACCCATAGCTAGGGGGAAGGAGAAGAGCATTCATACCTTTCCCAAGGTTATTAGCTTGTAAGTGAATGTAATGGATTCGACTGTAATTCGAACTCGGCTCTTCGATTTTTCCACTGTGCTTCCTACTCCTGTATGACGTTCCAAATATTAATAATGAGAGCTTGTCAATAATAATAAAAATTTAATTTTAACAAAAACAAAACAAAACAAAAAAACAGAAGCCCGGAGAATGTGTACAACCGTCTTCCATTACTGTTTATGAAAAACCTAGTTCAGGAGGATTACAATGTGTTACTCGAGGTTCATGGCTCTCCACAATTTTCTGTACTTTATCTTTTTATTATCTCTCTTAAACCCTGTTCTGCCATCCATTTACTCAAGCACATTCTTCTATATGGCGTGCACCTTCAGGACGTAGGTGACAATAGCTCTTCATAATTTCCTATCCTTTGAAGCTTTTAATAAATACTGTTCTTGGTTATCACTCTTAAACCCTCTTCCGCCATTCACCAGCTCGATAGACACGTTCTGCGTTGTTTTCCTTTCTCCATCTTGACATCAATCTATACTGGGAGTATCAAATTTTACAAACCCCCTTTCTTCATTATTTGGCCTAGAAATTTAAACTGTCTTTTTCTGATGTTAAATATATGTTATAACGGAACATACCTATTCTCTTGTTAATAGACTCTCCCACATATAATAAGTAGTATTAGTAGCAGTCGCCAGGGAGCTCAGTGAGTTGGTGGATGTCGGACATTAAAGTATCAACCACCACAACTAGATTGCGGCGTCATTAACTATTATTTCAAGTTCCTAACGTTTTGTACGTCGAACCTTTTTAGGACCGACTCAGTAAAATACAAGCCTTCACTGTGAAAACTACTCTACAACAATATAAGTGTCCTTTTTGTTTCCATTTTCTTTAAAACTTCGTCGTTGCTCAGATTTCCTGACGTCTGGTTGTGCAGAATATAGATTGCAGACCGTTTGCTAATTGTCGTTAAAATACAACAAACTTTATTTTCTATATGTCGTTTAAAAAAATGCTATCTTTTGGTTACCTGTTGCAAAAAAAATATTAATCCCCATTTATGTGGAACATGGAGAACAACAACGTGAAGTACATACGTTTAATAGCAAACCCTAGTTCCCATGAAACCAAATTTCTATAGTACGATATATTCACTACTATGGCGACACAGGGATCTATAGTCTATTTTGGTTTGTTGAGCAGTATATCAACTCCTTATGGATCTTTTAATGCCAAATTTAATTTTCTCAAAAAACATATTTTTCTCTTCATTTTCCAATAATTTATTGCTGGTAATTTTTATTTACTATGCAAATTGATTGACGGTATTATTACTACAAAAATGTATTTTGTATACTTTCATAATGTTTTCACTCCAGCTTGGAGTTTGAATATTTGCCTATACCTGGGAATCTATAAACTGCTACCCTTCCCCCCACCTGGGTCATGGTGGACCTGGGAACAACGGCAATCCACAGATGGTTACAACGTTTTAAGGAAAACGTCTCAATTAGTTTATCGTCATGCTCAGCACGCCGGGATCGCTACATCCCGCCCTGTGCATTCATCAGTGCCCAATTACCAGCATATCTGAAACTCACGGATCTAGGTGCCTGTGTGCACTGTAATTGGAGATAGACATATGTCCTGATCACTATCTCGGTTTCAGTCACTTCCCCACCGACGTATCGTAGTTTCCACCGTGTTTTCTATAAATATTTTCATGGTAATTATTTTGATGAGGTCTCTTTTTTTTTGTTTAGATTCTTGCATATAAATGTGTAATCATAAACATTCATTGGAATTTCATTTTTAAAGTTGGTTATTTTTTCCTATTTCCAACCCCACAAATTGTACATATGGGAACTGGTTAGCACTCCATACAAATCCTGAGGTTTTATGGTGGCTGTAGTAAGAATCGTAAATAAGAATATGTTCTTTTTGGTGTAAGAAATGCTATGGTATGTTTGGGTCAGTAATCGTGACTACCTAAGTTTAAAATAAGAAAAATTGAAGACCAGCCTCAAAAATTGTGTCCAATGATCAAGGAAATGCAAGAATAATGTACATATGCGCAAATGCTATTACTATTGTCTTTGGGAAAATTGAATTGTTTTTGTGATATTGTCCAGTTTACACAGATTCGACAAGGATACAGCCTTCCATTAAAAAAAAAAAAAGTAAAAAAAAAACTGTTTTAAAATATAGCCGGCAAGCAGTAATAAAATGACGACCCCGGTTAAAGATAATCAGGCGGAGATGCGTCTTATACATGAATTTACTTTTAACACACTTCTTTCCTTTCTAATGTATTGTTTTTCAAAGCTCGTCTAATGTACTACTTAATTTCAATCTAGATCATTTTCTGTTGCCATAGCAGGATATGACAACACAACTGCAAAATTCAAACACTGTTATTCATTAATCTGAGTAACTTGCAGTGACAGGATAAAATTTCTACTTTACAAACAAAATCACCTCCAGAATGTTAAAGGTCAATTTTGAATGAAATTGATGAAATTTGACGTCTACGCCTGAAACGCATCAGATGTACATAAGAGGATTGATTTGATTTGTTTGTTGAACGTCATATCAACTCCTTATAGAGATTTGAAGTAATCAATATATATATGTTATTCTGCTTTCACAATTGAATACATGGTATATAAAACTCAGCTTTAGTTCATAAACACATTTGTACGGACATGATTACTAGAGGCGTTGATATGTGTGTTGTATATTGTAGTTTTGTTGGCATTATTTTTGGATTGCAGTTTAATTACTTTAAATAAAGTTGGCTCCCTGGGCCGCGCCAGGAAGTTTTTCTCCCCGGAGTCGATCCTCCAGATCTACAAATCAACAATTCGCCCTTGCATGGAGTATTGCTGCCATATATGGTCTGGTGCCCCTTCTGTTTGCCTCGGGGTTCTTGATAGGCTCCAGAGGCGGATATGCAATGTAGTTGGCCCTGCCCTGGCGTCTCGTCTACAGTCACTTTCTCAAAGACGCGCCGTCGCCTTCCTCTGTCTGTTCTACAAATACTTTCATGGAAATTGCTCCGAGGAGCTGCATTCGCTGGTTCCCAGACGTCATGAATTCAAGCGCCCGACGAGGTTGGCATCCCGCTCTCACCCTTTCACTGTTGAAACTTCTAAATGTAGCCGTCTCTTTTACTCCAATAGCTTCATGTCGCGCACCTCTCGAATGTGGAACTCCCTTCCCTATTCCAGTTTCCCTGAGAGCTATAATCTCCAGCTATTCAAATGTAATGTCAATCGACATCTCCATTTGCCTTGATCTATCCACTACTCTTCTCCTCATCCTTTCTTCTATCACTCCTATCTGATCTTGCTCTAAACTTTCTGTAACCCCTTGCGTCCTAGTGGCTTCCCGCCTTGCTTGGGGTGAAATGCTTAAAAAAAAAAAGAAGAAAGTAATTGCAGGATATTATCTGGTTTCATGTCCTCAAAGGGTTCTTTCATATTGGTTCTTTGGTTAATAGCATATCAATCTCTATGGGTTATTAACAGATCGCGATATCTAACAGAGAGATGAAATGTAAATTATTATTATTGCATTATTCCAGATTTTTAACACATCAGCAAATAGATATTAATTTCAACAACTGAGCACAAATAGTTAATAATTTTAAAAAAATAGTAATTAATGTATAATATTATCCATAACTACATATACAAGAATATTTTTTTTATAAAAGTTAAAAAATAAACATAAATACGTAAAAGAAGCATATATTGTCGAAAATTTCTTTTTCCACAATATAGCAATTTGCGCTATGTTATAATACTAATTACTTAAACAATAATAATACTGAATATTTTTTTTTAAACAGATAAAGAAATAGCATCTTTCAGACAGTCAGTTATGAGCTATGAGAGATACATGCTGAGGCGATCGTGTATCTTTCGATACAAGACTAACGAGGCAGATATTTCCCGCATTAGGTTGCCATTTCTTTTTGCGGTATACCAGTTGCCATCAATCTATAGAATCCGTTCTGCCTTGCAAATAGCTTGGGTAGAAGAAGAGGATTCATACCTTTCCCAAGGGTATTAGCACGTAAGTGAATGTTAAGAATTTGACTGGAATTATGAACTCGGCTCTCTGATTCCTCATTCCGAGCCGTTATCCGTGTCTTTGATAAGCAATAATCGCCTACGCACTGAAAAGACATTTTATTTTTAATCCGACATATTTTTCTGGGTTTACTTCAAACGGTATTTTTAAAAGTTATAATAAGAATAGTATGTTGGATTCTAAAAATACAATCCTTTAGAAATTACTTTTCTGATACGAAAAGCCCGTGTCATCTCATGAAATGACACGGGTTTTTCGAGAAAAAATATCTGAATGAGTAATGTGCTTTTTTTAAAGTGAACATATAGCTTTGCTGAACTGTAATGCTGACTGTAGCCTCATGGTAAAGCTCACGAAATTAAACAGTGGTTTCCCCTACAACGGAGGAGGCAGTTTCAATCCTTTGATGGATAGCACATTATCTACATTAAGATTGATCAAATGCTCAACGTAATGTACACTGTTTAAAATAGAAAGACAAAAGAGGCGTATATCTCAAATACAAGAACACGTCATAATAACTTTGGAAGTAATACAAATGCCATTTAAAATATAAATACATAAATCCAGTAAATCTTTAGAAAATGTTTTGTTTGCATTTTGAATACGAAACTGGGCAGATATGACATTTTACTAAAAAAAAAAATGAACGAGTGAATGGTCTCTTAAAAGCAAATAGAAACTTGCTTGATTTTGAAGCTCTTCACAGCTGGATCCGAAGGCAGATTCTCCTGCAAAGAGGGACGCAGATTCGAATCCTGCCGGTGGGTACGTTTGTCTACTGGCCTGTGCACTTGAGATGCCTTAATAAAGTTATCTCAAGTGCGCAGGCCAGTAGACGAAACAACACTGTTTAAAAGGAATTAGTCGTTTACACAAATACAGGTAACCACTAAAATTAACGTTTGAAGTAAAAAAATATATAATCCACTACTTCCTTTACACACACACACACACACATATATATATATATATATATATGTATATATATAATTATATATATATAAAGAAATGTAGTTTTAATGTGTGCTATATCTATAGGATAAAGTGCTCAATATCAGAGACAGAGCGTATGTAATGTATATAAATATAAAAGTGAACATTGAAGCCAACACTCAGAGGCGACAGGCTGTTTCATGTTAGACTCAATGTTCACTTATATATATATATATATATATATATATATATATATATATATCTGAGATGAGGTATTATGTATATTATTTACATTATTCGGAATATTGTCCTAATCTTTGTCGCCATATTTATTGCAACGGTTCGGCCGTTGTACGCTCCGGTCTTCTTCAGGTGGTTGGAATGTCGAACTTAACCCGTTATTTCGCTCACCGGGGTAGACTGTTCTAGTTCCACATGTCATGTTTAATGGATGTCAGTTATCAGTTATCTCCTGTTAATTTTCCCTCTCAAAGTTCTCCACATCTTTAGCCGGTTATTGAACTCACACTCTTTGGGTCCTGTCACTGGATCTAACCAACGCCTTTATCCATTGTGCCATGTGTCCTTGAGGAACTAGAACAGTCTACCCCAGTGAGCGAAATAAATAGTTCAGTTCGACATTCCAACCACCTGAAGGAGGTCGGAGCGTACAACGGCCGAAACGTTGTAATAAATATGGCGACAAAGATGAGGACAATAATACGAATAATGTAAATAATGTATATATATATATATATAGAGAGAGAGAGAGAGAGAGAGAGAGAGAGAGATAAAGAGAGAGAGAGAGAGAGGCAGACAGACAGACAGACAGACAGTGTGTGTGTATTTGCTTAGAGTCCTTTTTAACAACCCTCCCTTGACTTTGTCCTCTTGATTAAAATACATAGTTTCGAAACGGGACCCCCCCACACACACACCATCCACTGCAACTTCATTCAGTTAATACATCAGCTTCATAAGCGTACTGCATGGATTTTGCTACTGTATCTACGTTGATCCCGTTATGAAGTTCATTCAGTACATCATTTCTAATGCGTTCTTTAGTTGGGAGGGAAGAACATGGGGTCAAGTTGCGAACTTTATTATCTCATTGTAATTGTGCTTGTTCCCCCACTATCGTTAGTTAGCACAGCCGTTATGTCCTGTCAATACCTCCTAAATAATGTACTATTCCGCGTTTTGATCGCAGGGAAAATAGCGGTAAATAGAATGCTTGTTTTACGTGAGAAAAAAAAGAAAGAAAGCTAACATTTCGAACTTATCTCACTATATTATTTTTATCCCCCTTTCCTATTTACTGTTTAGCAATCAAGCAAACTTTTGCTCCATCTGTTTTCTTTTCTTGTTGAAATCGTTCATGCTCACGTCTCTATTTTCATCGCATAATACATTTAGTGAAATCTTTTATATTATCCTGTTTCTTTTATCGTTTTTTTTTAAATCCAGACAATAGGTATGTCTTGATTTTGTGAGGTTGCTCGATTTCTTTTCAATTGTTCTTTTTTCCTTTCCAAATTTTATCAAGTATATTAGAGCTTGCATTATAGATTCACTGCACACTTTATGTGTTAAATATAATGTCAAGTTAC